AAGGTTAAGTCGAGTCGCTTCTCTGCCTGATATGTCATTGAGAGTTTAGTATCTTGCTCTTAAAACCAACCTCGAGACAATAAAATAAAGTGTTTGGGTCCCTTCACAGGTTTTCCAAGGCCAATCAACTCTACCACGCAATGCCAATCTTTTAGCTGGCAGTAGACCTTTTCGGAAAGTGCACTGAGGTTGTTCTAAGCCTTCAGACCCTATTCAAGTTTTCCTTCCTACTTTGATTCTACTTTTCGCAATTCGTAAAAAAGTAGGCAGAAAACTCAATTTCATCAGCAAGTACCTTGTTTTTGGTTTTTTTTTCGGTAATCGCTTTGCAAAGACATCAATTTTGGAGCCCCTGTTACGCTCTGTCTACACCGTTTTTCGAGAAGACAACGGCCAATGTACCATCCTTGTAGATTGTAGTGAAATTGGAAAAATTAGGGAGAGATCCTCGGTTCTGTAACTTCATTTTATTGCCAGTTTAAACTTTGACTATTCAGGTACCTGAACTGAAGAAAGGCGATAAACTGAAGGTCCCACCACACAAAGCCAAGGAACTCGAGGAGCGAAAAAAGAAGGTTTGGTTTTCCTTGAATTCCTAGAATTTCTACTAGAGTAGATCTGGCCTATAGCTATGGAAAGCATATAGCATTGAATGAAGTACTTTTTTAGGAAGCTAAGTTGGAGGCTGAGAAGAAGGCGAAGGAAGAGGAGAAGAAGAAGCTGAAGGAGGAGAAGAAAAAGGAGGAGGAGGAGAAGAAGAAAGAGGAAAAGAAAAAAGACGAGAAGAAGAAGGAGGAAAAGAAGAAGGAGGAGAAGAAGAAGGACGATAAGAAAGATAAGAAAGACGATAAGAAGAAAGATAAGAAGAAGACTGAACTGTAAACTCTCTCAGAACATCTAGTGAAACTGTTATGGGGTAATTATGTATGTGTGATAGGCTATCGATTTCGAAATAATCGGTAAGCATTCTCGTTATTTATGCGTGTGTTGTAATAAATTGTTGGTGATTATGAATGAATTGTTTATGTCTGATCTGTTCTGAATTTAGCATTCATAATGATCTGTCAGTAATCTCGCTATCAAGATTTGGATGAACAAAAATCCGGATGATCGCCTAGTATAAACGCAGTAACTAACGTGTCACGCCTAAAGGCACAGTTCACGATAATTTTGGGTAGTCCAGATTATGACGAAAAAATAATGACAAGATGGAAAATAGTGCGATGAAGGTGAAGAAACTGCGTGAATTCGTGTTTACAGTGAAAAAAAATCTTCGAAAAATCGTTAAAAAGGGGCTGGACGAGAATGAGGCCAGAAGAATGAAGAAAAGTGGGGTGTTAGGACGAGATGCGCACAGTGCGTCATTGCGTACGTGTGGATCCTGGTGCAAATAACTGACTACGATAAGCAAAAATTCATTAACCTATAAGCGTTTATTCAATTATTTGGTGCACCTATGCGTGCACCAAATAAATAAATAAGCATAAGTAAACATAAAAAACCCTAGTAACAGCAAAGTAGCTCACTTTTTTCAACCTCTAAGAGTAGGAACTTAAATAAGGGATTGCTGCAGCCAAAAGAAACAGAGGAAAAAAGATAGGGAGAAGAACATCGCCTCATCACTCGGCGATCAGCTGATTGTGTGTGGGTTTTAGAACGAATAATTGCAACCTGTATCGCCTCGACACTCGTCTGACGTGATATCGATCGAGAGGCGAGAAGGCCGTGCGAACCGGGAACAGGGCTTCCACTATGCCTTGAGCGCGAGAGGGTCCTTTCTATTGGGGGCCACTGAGTACTCCTAGAAGAAGAGTTCAGTAACCTTTCTTATCGTGAACCGTCCTTTAACTCATAATGGAGGAGGCTGAAGGGCAAGCAGTTATAGTGTAACGTACAGGGTCCAGACGATGTTCAGCTGAGGGATACTGTCACAACTATATTCGACACACTGAAAATAGACTCTTTTGATGCACTGCTTGTTAACAATTAGAGTACATCTATACAAAACCCTCAAACAGTCTGACAACGGGATCTGTTAGCTAGGTCTGAGCATGGCCTCTTAGATGCATTCGCAGATTTTGAACTGTAAGAGCCTTTTCAAAAGCCCTTCAGGTATAGTCTCCACAACGAACACACCAGATTCTCTGCCTGAGATGGTGGTGTCAGTGGTAAGTGGCACACTGTCTGCCACACCCGGATGGTCCGGAGATCGGAGCCCGTGCCGATATCTCTCCAGGTCAATCAGTCCTTCCAACTCTCTTGGATCACTTATTCAGTACCGGACTGGCTTGGGTGGATAAAAGCACTGATTTGTACATTGTCTGACCACCTCAAGTGATTGTATAGGCCACAGACGCATCCCAACCCCGGTCCGAATAAAAGTGAAGTACTTTGGAGCAACCCAAAGCAGGATTAGGTAGTTCGGACCAAATTCAATAGAAAACTAGGATGAAGCCTGGAATTATCTGAAGAGGTGAATGTAGAAGAGACTCTCAATCAGAAGGAAATGTTAGTCATCGAATGACTCGACGATTATGATGTGGAAGACGGATCGCAACATCCTGGCATAGGTGAGCGGATCTCACAACTATACGATCACCTCTCGATTGATCTAAATTTGATTGATTGACTCGAACGAGTTCTATTCGACTGATTTTCTCTTTCTCTAAACTATTGTAATGAGTTCTTCCAGCAGATGTAAACACACTTGATCTCGTTCATCCACCTCGAATTTAGATCATTCAAACATTCGACGCATCGTGCCGACCACTTTCACTCGATTCACTTCGGCATTCACTCCTTCCTGATGATTCTACTTTATTTCCTTATTCCGCAGCTGATTCAATTTTCATACTGCCTGGCAACACCGATGTACACCTACATCAAAGGTTATTTCTGGATATTACGTTATACGAAGTTTGAGAGGAGTTACTTAGCTGCTTCAAATACAGTAACTCTGAGTCACTAGAAGGGATTTTTTCGATTTTATCAAATGAGCCCTGGCTCAAGGCAATCGAAGAACTATCTTGATTTGTTCATTTTTCTAACTATTTTTTTTTTTGCTTTGTCTACAAGTATGATCTTCGAGTTCCGTCCGAAACAAAGCTTTGCCCGTAACTCGTCAACATTGTTAGAATCACGGGGATATTTTTGGAAGTTTTTCTCTGAATTCTTCTGATATCGCAAGAATTGTTTCCTGATTTTCTCATAACGATGCTTCACGATATTTTGAGGCACCCAATTTACTAGGGAGCGGAGCGAGTCACAGCGTAAAGCATTTATCCAACCTGTTTTGGGATGAGCCATACAGCTTGCTTGTACTTCGAAATATCAAATCTTTAGCAATAAAAATTTCGCTTTTTGAGAAGCGCCCCGCATACGACTTTCAATCAAGACCGCAGTCGCGTGCTGAATGCGCATGTGGCCTACACAGTGACTAGGAGTGGCCATCTGATGTCTGATGGGCCAGTCTGTGTTCTATCCTCCCAAATGAGTTTAGCACCATCTGACCGAGCCCGGAGGGAGGGAAGGATTGTTGGCCTTCTTGCCAACCTATCAAGGATCCCGTTCCCTGGACTATGCGTGTGTGATGGTGCACCGGTTACACTACTCCACCTCCACACAGAATGTACACAATGTAAAGAAAGCGAAAATAGATACGATATAACTAATCATAATAATCGAACAGTATACAAATAAAAACAAATGTGCCAATCAATTCAGCATTATGTCCACCTGGGCTGATGCCTCTAACGGGTGCTCGTCGTGTTCGAACTTGCGACAACGGATGTCCTCTAGGATCAAGTTGTATAAATGGAATTTGCTGTACGAGTCCTCCTCGATGTGACCATCCTACTTACAGGTATTTACTTTTTAGTTAACTTTCAATTATTATTTCACTTACTTTAATTAATTCACTTCATTTACGAATTCATTATATGGCACTGATTGTTAACGCAGAGAGCTTCATCCTTATCCTTCGAGTAACAAGACCTTCAGTTATTAAAAAATCCCCCATCAGGGACCAACGTTGCTCTTTGTCCTTGCAACCCGTGTGGGGACCTAAGTAGTGAGCTGAGCGTTAGCCTAATCTAATCAGGCTCATCATAGCATCGTATTCTTGAGTCTTCTGGCTGTTTAAAGTGCCTCTCAGGAAACTCTTGCAATTTCAGATTCCCCTCGATGTATTCATGCATCCCACAAGTGAAAGAGAGTTGCCCCAATGGTCAAAAGTGTGTGCCAAGCACTCGTGAAGGAATGTATATCTGCTGTTTTGCACGTTCTTCCCGCTCTGCTCCTAAGCTCTCCGACAGACCAGTTTGTCCAGGTATGCTTCGAAAGAGCAACTGTTCTAATCAAGATACTTTTCGCTTTATGCATTCTTTACAAGTTTTTTTTTCCTTTCTACGTTTCGGAGGCTACTACTGCCATTGAATTCCGATTTTCGACAGCTTGCGTGGGATGTTCCCCGCCTATTCCTTCTTCGAGGGAAATTCTTTATTTTGATTCCCATAATCAAATGGGAAAATCTTCAAACAAGGCGTTTTCCACCGTACCTGTTACCAAAAAGTACCGATAAGTTCATTTCAGCCAGCCATCCAGTAATCAGTAGCGTTCGACAGCATTTAAGACTATGTTCAGACTGCAAAGATGGGTGGGAACACTTCGACTTTTTTTAAAATTTTTTTATTAAATTTTTTCCTTTTTGCTTCCACCTTTTCTGTCTTCTTCTATCTTCTGATCAATCAATAATCGATTTTTGTCGACTTCAAAAAATTTGGATTTGTTCGTATCCGAGCATTCAGAGTTTGCGCTCCATTCCGTGCATCATCCATCAGTATCTGTTGCCATTCTTCTGAAACATTCTGCGGCCCTGGTAGCTCTGTAGAGATGGACGGTCTATTGGCTAGGGACTGTTCAAAGCTACCGTGTAGTGAAGGGTAAGAGCTAGTTGATGTCCAAGGAAGGTTCCAATAGGTGTGAGTTACTCATCAGGTACGAATGCTCATTGACACCGAAAGGTAATCGAGTTTGCTGCTCATTTGCTGAATGCCCGAATGGACAACGTGCGAGAGCGATCTGTGCAGAGGGCTGTGGCATTGATGAAACTTGTGAAAACATCTATGGTCAACGGTGGTGCTGCCCTATTGTAAGGGAAAGGCAGTGCCCTGACAATCGACTTAGGTGGGTAGCTTCATAATTCCGTCTTCTTTTGCCTACAGCATTTTGGGCTAATATTTTATTACTTTTCAAATTATTTTCAGCAATGGAGTTGATTGTTCGCTGACATCACCCATGTGTATTGATGGTTATGAATGTATGGAAAGTGACGATCAAACGGGACACCTTTGCTGTGAAATCGAAGATGAACCAGTGCGGAATACGGTAACAGTACGAGCCAAAACCTTCACAAAAAGTCCCGTTGTCGTGACGTCTGCCCCTCCGGACGCAGTTACCATCGCCGCTCTACCTGCCACATCGTCGTTGGTCGTATTTCCTCCATCACAGCTTATAAGGTGAGCTATTAAAAATGGTATTATAAATGTAGCAAGTCCTGTGTACAGTTGTGTACTTCAGAAATAAAATAGAAAAGAAAAACTTGCCAAGCCCTTTTTTGAAATTTTGGCCATCGACACTGCCGTGCTCTCTGGCTGAATGTGACTGGCACCGAAGGACTTTCACTGGCAAAGTTTTTGACCGTTATGCAGTAGCAATTCCAGTTCTCAGTAAATAATTTTTTGGGTGATTTTTTTCGCCGCTTCGAAAATACTAGTTCACCTTTGGAAGAATCACTTGCGAGTCTTACTTACTCGGTAATCGGAGCTTTGTGAAGACTTGAAATGGTCGCAAAAAAACCCTAGAAGTGGCTTATGGAAATCCCAATATTGCCTTACTGAAATGCCGGATAATATTAGACCGGAAAGTAGTCACAGTTACTATTACAATGCTAGAATTAGAAATGTTCTTTTTTTCAGTGAACCTAATGAACCGAAATGCTTCGGCGATACTGCCCCGATGGTCATGGAGGGCGAGTATCTTCGATGTCCACAGATTGGAGCGCCTTGTCCCAAAGTTTGTTGGCCTATCAATCTACGTCTTTTTGCATATGTAGACAGTTTGTTTTGACTGCAGAAAAACTCANGGTCATGGAGGGCGAGTATCTTCGATGTCCACAGATTGGAGCGCCTTGTCCCAAAGTTGGTTGGCCTATCAATCTACGTCTTTTTGCATATGTAGACAGTTTGTTTTGACTGCAGAAAAACTCAAAACGCACAAAGTAGGGACTTGGACAACGAGGAAGTAGGTGGTGCAAAGTTAAATGTAAGTGGAGTGGTCTTGCCTAGGTTCCTAGGAGAGAGTCGAAGAGAAAAATAGCTAACGCGTTCATGTATGGTAACGCAGAAAACCGGTTGCTGGGTAATCCTAAACTGAGACATCACTATTGATGAATTAAGATTTTCAAAGACTATATATTTTTTACTCGCTTTTTTGTTCACAAGTTTTCAGGCAGGATACTCATGCCAAGCTACCCTTGAAGGCCTCTACTGCTGCCCAATGGAGATGATAACTCCAGAAACGGTCACATTCCCATCCCTGACGCTTCCTACAATTCCTCCGGATGAATGCATAGGTTTGTATAGCAATTTTAGCATATTCGGGAGCTTGTGCGATGACTTTAGGACTATGGATGCAGTGGATGGGCGTTCATTTATGAAATGTAAAATAATAATATTCATAAATTTTATCGAAAGAACTCAGCACCGAGTTAAACGAAGCATCGCGTCTGTGGTGGGCAATTTCCTGTCTGGGTGATATATATCATAGATGGACACTGCAGTTACCGTAGAAAAGGGCTTTGGGAATGCAGTGAATGGACATGAAAGCCCCTGAGCCATGCGTGACCCCGAAATCTCCGTAGACATGATATTAATAGGCATGTAAGAGAGCGCAGACAACGTGACAAAATAACGTTTATCGGCGGCTAACTAAGTGCAATAACTTCCCTTCTGCTTCTCGAGCCCTAATGCTTATACACCCACTTCTATGGACCCACTGGTTATGCTGCCATTTCAGCAACATTTTGGCTGCTTCCTATGGAAGTGTGATTCCCATATTTGGGACTTTCAGATTGCGATAACAACGTCACTGAACCACCAACTCCACGTTGCCCTTTCGCGTTCAAGGAAGCTCGACATGAAACAACTGATGAAATAAAAACTTGCGTCGGCTTTCTGGATTTCACGTAAGTTTCCGCCTTTGTCTGAGGTCTGAAGCCTTAGTTTCGGGCTCTGTACTTAGTTTCTAGTATACTAATACCCAAAGGAGGAGCCATCGCCGAAATGAATAATCATCCTTGTGAGTATTAACTAAATAGGAATGATTAGTCATAAATAAACAATAAATCAATCGACTACTAAGGGAGGAGGATCAACGAAAATGCTTATTCAAGTATCTGAAAAGGAAATCATCGAAAATCCATCCAAATTTCTTCTCCGGGAGGATTACGGTTTGATAAAGAGAAATCAGCATCGTACTTAACAGAAACTGGTTGGAACGAACTTTTCAGCCAGAAACCCAGACTTATCACACAAGGGCGCCCTAGATAGAGGATTAAGAGTGCAAAATGAACTGCATCACTCACAGTCCTGTCTGGGACGAATATTTTGTACCAAAACATCAGTTCGATATAATTTACGATGTCCAGAACAATCAAATCCAGCCTTTTCCCCAAATTCAATTCAATTCCTATGAAGCTTTTCTTACGGAGCCTAATTTCGAAGAGAATTCCTGAGAACACTGATCCTGCGAAAGATTGGGGAATGGGCTCCTTGAGGGTTAGCCATGAAATCTTTGTAAACGGTCAACTGTTCCTCAAAAAGTGGTGATACCAGTCACAACAATGAGACATATGACCGGATTGTGTCAAATCGCTCGGTTAATCGCTACTGTTTGGTAATTATTACAGATGTCCGTTCGGATACACGTGTCTACCGTCCTCCACCACTGCATCGTTTCTCTGTTGTGTTCAGATCTCTTCAACATAATCGATCCGGAAAAAACAACGGAAAGGAAAAATTCTTTATAGAAATGTAAGATCTCTGAATCTGTTCCCATACAAACAAAAATGCCGTAAACAGAATGATATCACATTAAAAGCATGTATATTGATCGATCTGAGGTAACCGTAACAATAGCTACTGTCCAAAGTATTTCATCTCCCATAAAGTCCACCATAAGGTAATCCAAGCAAACCAAGACCGAGACCATAGCCACCGTACAAACCACTTCCATACAGACCACCTCCGTATAGACCATTTCCATAGAGACCACTTCCATACAAACCAGAGCCATAAAGTCCATTTAGGCCAAGGCCACGATATGTGGCAAATGTGTACGGATTACCGTAGACATAGCCTGAGGGATATCCTAAACCATAGCCGTACAGCTGTCGCTTCACTCTCGTGCTGAAAAGCAATCACCAATCAATAACATCTGAAATAAACATCAATATCACCAAACAAGCTATAGATTGAAATGGTTCCAGCAGAAATTCGTACCGTACCATAAAAGTTAATTTCAGGAAATACTGTCTGGAATCGCTGCTCACAATCAGTCACCGAATTGCGCTACACCCATTATTTTATNTATCCTAAACCATAGCCGTACAGCTGTCGCTTCACTCTCGTGCTGAAAAGCAATCACCAATCAATAACATCTGAAATAAACATCAATATCAACAAACAAGCTATAGATTGAAATGATTCCAGAAGAAATTCGTACCGTACCACAAAAGTTAATTTCAGGGAATACTGCCTGGAATCGCTGCTCACAATCAGTCACCGAATTGCGCTACACCCATTATTTTATGGTGGTGAATTTTTGCTTGTGATCAGTCGTAAATCGATATCTTGTATAGTTTAATGTCAATTTTAATAAATGAAATGCTTTTTTTAGGAGTAATAAATAAATGCTTGTTTTAAAAGATTGACCTTCAAAAAAAAAGCCAGGAAATTCAACAGTCGAGAAATTCTCTGAGAACAGCTGCAGAGTTACTGAGACATTTTTGGTCTGTAATGTGATTGGTGAATAAGCGCGACCGCCTCTCAAGTAGTATTTATACTTCGCAAGCTGCAGCGGCTGCCACCGGCACTGGGTTGTCAGTGCGCAACTACTATCGCGGTCAAACAGATAAATCGGAGATTAAAGAAAAGAAATCGAGAGTTGAGGCATGTAACTTAGTACCACAGACGCATACTGTATCACACACCATTGAAAAAGCAATTAAAGAGGGCTTAAGGAGGTTCAGTCGACCTCAGCGATGTTCTAAAAAGAGGGTATTCAGCAAAGGAGAGCTTTCGATGTTGGGAGTGATAGAATATCTTTCTCACTCATACCCGATCTGTCTGAGGTGGATCAAAAGAAAAAGTGCTGAAGCAAAATAAAAAATAGGTGCACAATAATTGGGATTATTAAAAGGGCTGGTGCGAGTGTGCGCCGCGTATTTGACATCTATATCAAATCACGGAAACCTGTGAAAAGCGTTGGTTTTAAATATTTCTATTGAGCTCATATAATAAAGGTAAGGGAATAATATAATAAAGGTAAGAGAAGTTTTGATGCAGTTTATGTGCCTTGACAGTAGTTATGGTAGGAGAGCTCGGCTCGCCCTACATTGTCACTGCATCATCTCCATATTGAACAAGATAGAAGGGTAATTTTTGACGTTTCCCAAAGCTGAATGAAGGCTCAACAAAGTGTCGCATTAGAAAGCGCGTTTAAATATCCAATTAGCAAAACATCCAGTGGAATTCATAAAGTCTTTGAAATCTTTTGGCACTAATTGAACCCGGTTTTCGGTTGCACCCACCCGTTTCAGTTCAATTCAAAATCTAGTCGCGATTGAATGTGTATATTACGTGTATAATGATTGCTGTGACCAAGTGCTATACAAAAGAGGCTTTTACCCTCCCGAATCTTGTACCGCTCAGTCGATCTAGTAGGAACGGAAGGCAACTGAGCCTTCCAATCCTACTAGATTGGGTTAACGCGGATCAGTATTGACCGAAGATTCGATCCACGCATCACCCTCCCCATCAAATATCAGAAACAAATCGAAGAAACTTGTGTTATGTGAGAAAAAAGAGCTTCTGAAGATGCAGTTCTGGTGGCGTATTTCAAACTTCGCTATAGCCATCTTCCACTTCAGGGCGGAATTTCACAATCACTGAATCAGAAAAGGGTTCAAGGAACTTCGTAGTTGAACTCTTGTTGTTGCGCAATATAAAATGCACTTTCAAACGTCTACCATAGCAGGGATTATCCGATTTCGAAACCACTATTTGTAAGTGGTACTTACGTTGACTGAATTCTCCTGAATCATTGACTACATCAGATTCTCATAGGCTCTTCCCCCACAGAT